GCTCTTAGGGCTGTGATTAAACATGACAGAGAGGGCCACAGTAGCACCATGTTTTGGACAGGGGGAAATCCACTTAGGTTTCTAGCACGGTACAGGCCATACGGAAGCCATTCTGTAAATCTGTGTAGAACAGGGTACATGTGGAAGAATTTGCCCCACTCTGCCTTTCTCTAAAGGAGAATGCTATTCAAGAGACACTTCCAAGCAAGGTACAGGCTCACCCCTAGCCATGCCTCAGTCACCCTGTGCTTCCTCAGATAGGGGGAAACTATTAGGATCAAAGAGTTCCATTATAAGGCCCAGTGAATTACAACATGCCACAAGCATATTTATCTACAAAAATCTATAAACATAGTTGCCACAAATATATTTGTCTCTGAAATTCACTACCAGGTAGAAATAGCCAAAACAGAGATCTCCGCACCCAGGTGAAAGGGCTCACACCCTCTGCTTAGTCTTGCAATAATTAGAGCCCTTCAGGCAGACATGGGCCCATAAGGACAAGGCCTGAGAGAAACCAAGTAGTCTCTAGGGAAGGAAATATTGTCCCTGACACTTCCAGTGTATGTGCTGATGTACTGCCACTAGCTGATAGTCTTCAAACTCTAATAAGATGGTTATCGTTTTTCACAGGCTGCTAGTTTTTGTGAGTTTCTGGTTGGGCTGACATTATGTTATCAAGACAATGAAACTTACCCAACAAATCAGTATCACCTCTTGGCAGGTTGTCAGTGCTACTCAATATGTGGATGTTGGCTGAACTGGTCCATGCCACCTGGGAGATTGTTAAAAATTCAAATTCTCAGACCCCACCCCAGATTTACTGAATCAGAGTCTCTGGTTTGAAACCCTGCCAGGTGATTCTGATGTATGCAATATTTCAGCATTTGTTCATCCATCCTTTCTCTTTTAGTACCAAGATCCTCAATTCGGAGATGTGTTGGCCATGTTCCCAGTAAGTACGACATTCCCTTGCCTTCTCTTCAACAAAGGGAGGTCAAGGACATGCTTGTGGAGAGCAGTTTTCTTAGAGACTGGCTCAGCTGAGAGGTGTCGCCCCTTTGTTCCTTGCCCTGCCTTCTGCTTCCTGCTTGCATTGTGGGTGTGAAGATTGTCACTTCAATAGCCATCCCAGCCCATGAGGCAGCCTCAATGAAAGATCAAAAAGTCTGAAGGTAAAATGAGTATATTCCCAATGATAAGCTCACAGCGCAACCATAATAGCCATGGCTGTCTTTTTTCCAAGTTCCCTTTATATGAGAGAAACAAAATAACTTATTATAAACTTACTATAAATTAGCTTATTTGGGTTTTCAGTTAATTAACTAATTTTGAGTTAATTCTTACAAATCCCAACTATTACATCAATCTTATCTCAGTACAAAGTCTTTCTAGAAAAACCAATGTCCTGCATGCATTCCTGGCCTCTCTTCTTTCTTCCCTGACAAATTTTCTGCAAAATCCATTCCATAAAAACTGATTAAATCAATAGGGAATGAACAAATGCACTATTTCCCTTACCTTCCCTTATCAATATAAGAAACTGGCACATTCCTTCAGGGAAAAGTGCCTGGAGAGGAACCACATTCAGAAGCCCACAGCTGTCTGGCAGGGCAGCAGGAATCCCCTTGCAACCAAGAGGTGCATCCTGCCAGCTATACGATCCCTGCACTTTGTGTTAAGACATATTTAATACCCATCGTGCCTGCTCACTGTAAGTAGAATAAATCAGAGGGTAGGAATTGTGACCAGCGTTTTTACCCTAACCTCAGGCCTTAGCACAGAGATGGGCACAGGAATATTTGCGGAGAGAGTGAATGAGGGAGTGAAGGAAGGAAGGAATGGCTAAGAAGATGGATAAATACTAACCTTTTCATGTTTATACTGATCCTTCATATCTTCTATTTTAAACAGTCCAGTGGATAGTCAACAATGGTCTCAGGAGTGGAGGGTAAGTGTTGGTCACATTGTCTCACTATCAAAACACTGCGGGAGGCTCTATAGTGAGACATCGGTGACTGGGGGATTAGTTCAGAAACTAAGCAAGCAGTAGCATAGGACCTTGTAGCCCACTACTAGCCCACATCACATGTGGCCACAGTATCTCCATTTCACCTCTCAAGTTCCCTATGCACAAATAAGAAAATTGAAGAAAATGATTCAGCTAATTTAGGAGTACAGAAAAGACCTTAGTGCCTGGAAACAATCTCTAACCCCAGTTCTTAAAGATTTTATTAGTTATTTTTATTATTTTTTTTCATGAAGTAACATATACCAGGGAACTCGGGAATGGAGTTATTTATTACATGACCTCAAGGTAAAGACGCTACAAACTTCACATATAGGCACACCTCTTTCACTAATTATTTTTAATAAAACAAAAGATCAAAAATCAACATCAGGAGATGTCACAATACAGTTGAGACTGTTAAAAGAAACTACTCCCAAACTGGGCATCATTAAATGCATCACGAACCATGAAGGGATTTGCTCAATGAAAGAACACATCGTCCCTCTTGCCCCTCCATGGATGCCGTCAGGAGTTTCTCAGGGTAAAACACAAAATGAAAAAGAAATGGATGGCCAGGAAAGCTGTGCATTATCCCCCAAGGTCCTGCCACGGAGACTATTTTTAAAGACACATTAATCTCAGCAGTACTGACAGCTTGTGAGAAGTGGCCAGGTCCCAGTGCCAGGCAAACTCTCCAGGGGGAAAGCTGCCCACCGTGTCTATACCCTTCACCAATGCCCACATGATGGATGGAATGGGAGTCGCCCTTGGTTGGTTAGGTAGTTGGTTTAAGGAGCCATAAAGATGATTCTGAAGTTGAGTCCAGGAAACCAACTGGAGTTAACCCATGAATTATTGCAGCCACCCTGCACTCAAAAGTTAATCATAATTTAAATTTACAAGAGCCCTCTTAACTAGAAAAGCAAGCTCTGTCTTGTACATTTCTTAAGTGGTTGCTGCTCATTGAATTGTACTACCCATTGAAGAACAATGTTACAAGGGATGTGGTAATCCTGGATCTATGCAATTCTCTTTTATGATCCTAGCCACTGTATTTCATATCACAAGAATATGGAAAGTATATTACAGCTATATTACATAGAGTCTGTCATTATCGACTTAGCATTACGTTAGTTAACTCCTATAAAACACTGAGAGAAATGTTAATACATGATGGTATATTTACATATATATATGTACAGTTGGGGGCTTTGGGATGTCAAATCAGACTTGGTATTCCTTACCCCGACACACACACAAAGGTGGAGTAAATAAAGAGGTGGGGATAAGAGAAGCAGAGTAAACATTTTAACCATTAAAACTGATCTCAAATTGAAGGTGGAAAGGGTCATAAAATTTATTCCTTCCCCCTGTTGACCTTTTAATGGAGAGAATTTCAGAAAGATAACCTGAAGCTAGGGCAGGATGTAAGCATTTTTGGAAGAAACATTCAACACCATTATCATTCTGTATTAATTTTTGGAGCTTTCTGATAGGCAAAGTGAAGCCCTTTGTAGCAAATCAGAGAACTAGTTCTTGCAGATCGCCACTCACCCAGCCTGGGCACATTCACCTTCAGTGGTAGAAACTCCCTATGGGGCTCACTGCCACTTTTGCTGCTAGGCAGTTCTGACTATTAAAAAAAAAAAAAATTATTCCTTTTTCTTGGAGGCAAGTCTTCAGTCTATTGCTGACCTTTGCCAGAGGGGTTTGTCCTGGGTTCCTCACTTCACCCACTCTCTTCTTATGTCCCAAACTGGAATTTCGTCTTAGAGCACTGAAGGAAAATACATCGGACTCCACTATATTCCCTGATTCCCAGGCTAGTGGCCTGTGTTTCAAAAGCCTCAAACCAGAACATGTAGTATGTCTCATGGGACCTGATCACTGTAACAAATATGGATCCTGTTTTACTGCTAAGCAAACAGAAAGAATTCACACTTGGGAGAACTGTGGCTATGTTTCCTTATCCCTAAACTCCCCATGTTATTTGATTCTTGCCTATAAAGGAAGTGCCAGAGGCCAAGGAAAGCATCTTGTGTTGTTTCTGGTTGAAAAGCAAAGTCAAAGACCAGTACTGAAGACGGTAAGCTTCAGCTTCACAGGTCATCTATGTAGAAGAGAAATGTAACCTCTCTACCCACAGGAAGAAAAGTGCCTGGACTAAATGAAACCGCACTTGATTTGCTAAGTGCATCCTCTGAACAGCAGGTTAAATGGCTATAAGAAATTGTGCTTGCATTTTATTTGATTGCACCCAATTTCCTGGGACCTCAAACACCAAGTTCTCCCAAAATATGGCTAAAATGCTGGCAATATTTGCAAATAAACCCAAAGACAGTTATATACAAACTTAGTTTACAGAATACTCATCCTATTAAGTTTCTTCAAATAGCAAAACAGCAATAAATGTCATTCTTAAATGTATCACCTAGTCATCATGGAAAGCTGAGGACACTTAGCAAAGTCGATCTCTATAGATAGTGCTTAAATATTTGGTTTTGTATATCAGAGTATCTTCAATGCTATTGTGCCAATTTTCAAATGGAAAATATGTTCGGTGATAACTTTGAATGTAAAAATATGTGATCTCCCTAACTTCTTGGCAAGTTAATTCATTAGGTCATTGATCTCCTGGGAGCTTTATGTTTCTCAACCTCAAATTCATTTTGAAATGCAAATAAGTTCTTGCACCTTGCTTAGGGAAATGCACAATCTTTACTTAGGTATATACTCACTGAAGGGTCCTCCCTCTACCTTGGGCTGGGGAAACCTAAGGCCAAGTACACAGCTCTGGGATCCTAAGAGTGGCTCAGGGCACCCCAAATCAGTCACCTGAGTAACAAACATATTGACAACTGAAGTGGGTCCTAAACTAGGGATCTCAAAATCAACTTCTCCTGCGCTATCCAAGGTGTCCTGTGGACAATGACAGGTAGGAGATGTGGCTGCATTTTAGTGTCCTGGACAAGATTTTTTTGATCTTTCCTTTCCCCATAGGTTGTTCACATCAGGACCTGTTCTCGAGTCTCTGGCAGTCGAAGGGCAATCAGGCCACCCCCAACCAGAGAAGCAGCAGCCAGAAGGATGGGGACCACTTTGGTTATCCCAACAAAAGAAGCAAAGATGGTGTTTCCCAGGATGGCGCCAAATCTGCATAATCCATTGAGGATGCCAAAGGCTGTTGCCCTGCAAAAGAAAAGGAAAGGAAAGAATTCTGAAATTCTGGACCTTTTTAGATAAATGAGACAGGGTTCTTTTTCTTGGGGGGAGGGGGGGAACGGGGGCAGTTTTTTCCTAAATATAAAATTAGCACATTCTCATTTAATCAAATTTAGAAATACAGAATATAAAGATATGAGGATATTTAAGGCAATCACAATGATTAATATTTTGAATTATTGCCTTCAAGTTTTTTTCCTTCTCTTTTCAAATATATCTGTTCTTAAAATACTTACAGTTAGTACTTGCTTGTTGCAAAAATAATAAAGACATATGCAAAACAGAAAGTGTAACGGTTCCCCCTCAGTAACACCTCCTTGTGGCAGACTGCTAGTTGTCCCTCCATATAATTTCTTCAAATGTAAGACTACATTTCCCAGAATCCCTTGGTGCTGACTGTAGTCATGTGACTTAGTTCTAGCCAATGGGTTGTAAATACAAATGGCACCTACTAAGAAACTTCCTTAAGAAAGCTCGTGATCAGGATTTCTGCTTTCTTTGTCTGTTTCCTTCTATCCTACTTCCTAAAGCATAGATGGTCTCATCATAGACCACGATTAAGTCTAGACAAGGAAGAACAACATAGAAAGAGCCTAAACTGCCTGCTATAGATTTCTACAAAAGAAAAAAATGAAATGCCTACCTCAGAAGGCCATGAAGTTTTGGGGTTTATCACCTAATCCTAGTTACTGTCTCTCAATCACACTTCCAAATGATAACTATTATTCACCATTTTTCCTGCCATGACCTCATCTATACACAGACATAATGTTCCCAACACCATTGCTCCCCAACTGAAGTAAAATATTTTTATACCAGAATTTAAGAATGTGGTTATATTTTTGTACTCACAATTCCTTTTTATATTTGTCTATAATTGAACAACTCTTTACCTTTATAATCACTAGCACCCAATCCCAGTATTTTTGTTTTCAGCATTTTCCTGTATATTTATTTTCACATGTGCTTTTCTAAATAAAATTCAGAATGTTTTTTTCAAGATCCCAGAGAAGTAAATCTCATTGAATTCTGAAATACTCTCATAAGTTAGAGAAAAACTAAATAAAATTTGACATTTTCATGAGATTAAATCATCTTATACATAATGAGTTATATCTTGACATTTATTTAAGTCTCCTTTTATCTCTTTGTAAGTTTTACGGTTATTATAGTTTTATCCCTATGAGTGTTTCAAATTGATTTCTAGGTATTTTATTACAAATGGACTTTAATTCCTTTTTAATTTATTTATTTTATTTAATTTATTTATTTAATTTAATTTATTTATTTATTTATTTTGGTACTGGGGATTACAAACCCTAGTACTTCAACCACTGAGTTATATCCCCAGCCCTTTTTATTTATTTATTTATTGAGATGGTCTCACTAAGTTGCTGAGGTTCTTACTTAGTTGTCCAGGCTGGCCTTGAACTTGCCATCCTCCTGCCTCAGTCTCCCAACTTGCTGAGATTACAGGTGTAAGCCACCACACTCAGCTTCAGTTAAATTTTTAACTTGTTTTGATACATTTTAAAACCTGTAAGCCATTAAAAATTTTATTGCTGACCACCTGACCAGTATTACTTTCTTGTTTCTAGTTGTTTCTCTTCAGTCTCCTAGAGGTAAAATTATATCCCATTCAAATAACGATCAATTTTTTTCTTCTTCTTTTCTTTTGGACCAGGGGGGACTTAGTGTAGCTACACAAATCCCATCTTCTCTGTCACTAATTTGGGGAATGTTATTAAGATTTTGTTTTGTTTTGTTTGTTTGTTTTGTTTTGTTTTTAGAAATCCATTTACCTACCTTCCACACTCCTTCACATTCTTTTTTGGCCACAGGGCCACTTATCTTCACCTTAAAATTCACAATTCCCCCTCCACGTGGAGAAACAGCTACCAAGTAATGGCCTTGACCCTGTGCCTTTAAACTAGGCCTTTTCCCATGTGGCTTGTACAAAATAAAAGTAAACCCTGGGCTTCTCTGACATATTCTCTGCAAATGCCCTGGAACTTCATCTTTCATCCCTACCTTTATTTCACTCCCCAGCCCCCCCCCCCCCCCCGGTTTTCTAGTTCACCTTTTCCCTTTATCTCCCGTGGGCAGGCTTGTTCTCAACTCCCTTGAGGATTGCATGACACAGGTTTTGCTAATTGTTCAATATTAATCCTCTCTCCTAGATGTAGCTAGATCTTGTCTTGTACCTTTTGACCACCCACCCCATCCTATTGAGCCACAGATTGCCCACTTCTGGGCCTTGTCAACCCTTATGCAGAGAAACTCAATAACTTAGAATATATTTGGTGCATGGGAGCACGAGAAAGACCAAGATGGCCAGGCACTTTGCAAGATTTAGTGGGCACGTGAACTTCTAGCTAAAGAAGTCCAACAAGTCCAAAGGAAATCCCAGGAAGGACTGACCTCTGGTTGGTGGGATACAGCTCCACTGTAATCACATCCAGAGCATTCCAGGCCGCGATGCTGGTCCCGCAGAACAGGCATTGCCAGCCAATCATTGCAGACTCACTATTGCCAAAAAACAGGAAGAAGCAGCAGACTGCTGAGATTAGCATGGAGCCACCTGAGGAGAGAGGTCAAGAGCAGAAAGAAACATGAAACCCCATGGCTTAAACAAGACTGTCACCCACAGGTTCTGTCCTGTCTCCCATCTTCACAGGCACACCTAATGGGACAGGTTACCTGAAATATTAGGTTCATCCTCCACATGGAGAGAATATAGCCTGAATCCCCCTCCATGGTACCCCAGCTATGGGATCAGAGGCTTCTGCATGGGTCACCAGAGTTTACCTCCAGGAAAGATTTTGAAATTGCCACTCTATGGTACTGTTCAGTCCAAAAGACCTGGGGGTGGTGGAGATGGAGGTATTTGTTGAGAATATACTAAGTGCCAGACACTGTTCAAGGTGCTTGAGAGACATAAAGATCAGTTTAAAAAAAAGGAAAAAAAAAAAAAGAAGCTGCACTCTGAATTTGCAATCAATATGTCAAAGAGACACCTGCCCACGTTCTCACAGCTCTATTTACAATAGAAAAGATACAGAATCCATCTAAATACCCATCAACAGATGAGTGGATAATACATATACATAATGCATATGCATCATGGAGTATCATTCAGGAGAGGAAAACCCTATCATTTACAGCAATACAGATGGAACTGGAGGCCAGACAAGGGTGATTTCTCCCCTTGCCCCTGCTGCCACAGGGTTGCCTACCTGCCTCATTTGTTCTGAAAACCCCGGCAACATTTCTAAAGCCACCCATCAATACAGTCTCTTCCTTGAAACCAGTGGGGATGAATCTCTTCAGCCAGGACTCGAGCTGATCGAGCTAATGATGAGCGATCTCCTCAAAATAAGACGGGGCCAAATTCGGTGGGTCCACCCTGGGAGCTCGGGAAGCCCAAGGTGGGGGCAGGGCGAGGCAGGACAGGTTGCAGCCCAGGAGTAGAGCTGGAGAGGAGGCAGGAAAGCAGATCCCAAACAGCCAGTGGGAAAGCAGGCCTCTTTTCCCAGCAGCCATCGGGCTGAAGAGAAAGACAGGCTTTGGCTGCCAAGAACCCAGAGGCCTGGCCTCAGACCCAGGGCTGCAAGGCTAGTACCACGGCTTGCTGATGAGCTTGGAAATGCTAACTGTCTGCCTGGATGCTGCAGACACTGGGAAGGTAGGGCTGAAAGTAGGTGTCCGTGGTCTCTTTCCCAATTGCTAGGAGAGAACTAGAAGGGGAGGAGACGGGCACCCAGGGACCACAAGTGCCATGAGAACAGTGCCCTCTACACACAGCAGCCCTCAAAGAAACCATGTTAATTGTTCCTGCTGTAGGTTCCTATAGCCCACGGTCCTCCCACTCTCTAATTTATTCCCCTGTAATTAAGAGGTTTGAGATCCAATTCTAGCTTCACCACTTCAAAACCTGTGTGACCCTGAATGAGTCACTTAACCTCTCTGTGCTGTCTCATTTCCCCGTCTGTAAAATGTATATTAAAGTAGTGCCTGCCTCCAAGGGTTATGACAAGGGCTTGATGTGTTAATAATGATAAAATACTTGGAACACAGCCTGACCTATAACAAGCATTTCATAGTGTTAGTTAAATGAAATTTCTAGCTTATGTCTGTCTCTCCCAATCTATCATTTGCTCTTTAAGCACGGAGATATTGACTATCTCAATTACCATTCCAGTCTCATTGCTTCCCACACAGCCTGGCAGAGAATAAGTACTGCATAAATAAATGTTATTGAATGAATGAGTGGGTAACAGCCTCGTTAGGAAAACTTCTCCTCTGCTGTTCACAAGAAGCAACTTCCACCCTGCCAAGAGCCCTGGAGAGTGAGCAGGACAGAGCTGCTCTGCAGATTCTATGGGGGCCTTGGTCTGAGGGGCATGGGAAATGCTATTTCAAAGCAGTTCACCATGTCCCATCGTGACACTGTGGAATGGATATTTACTGAGTACCCAGAATTCACTGTGCACTGACCCACTGGGAGTCAGGCTTCTTCCTAAAGACTCAGGGTACAGAGACCTCTAGAGGAGGCACTGCCCAAGCTCCAAATGAGCTTGCAATCTAGCTCAGAAACAGAATTCTAATAGGAGTAGAATATGGAGAAATTCTAAATGGCAGTTCTAGATCTCTAACTGGGAGCCCAACTGTGACCTGGAATGATAAGAAGGGGCTTCGATGGCATGGAGAAGGTATCGGCTGTCCTGATGCCCAGCCTGTCCCCTGAGCCCAGCCTTCCTCCTGCATCCATGGAGAGCAGGACCCACCCCATCCTGCAGTCCCTGCAGTCCCTGCCTTCCCCAGACTTTTCCCAGCTACTTCAAGACGTGGCCAACAGGGTCAGACTCTGGACTCAAGTCCAGCCATCAAGTGGCAGAAGTGTCACACGCCTGCTCTCATTATCTCATTGGAGCAAATAGAGAGATGATTTTAGCAATTATGAAAATGAAGCTCGGGATCGTAAAAGAATGTCTACGGACTCATAAAGCTAATTTTGAAAGAGATAGCCACCTGGCGCTGACACGAAGCCACCCCGTGGTACCCTCTGCTGAGAGCAAGGTGCCTCTGGAGAATGCAGGAAAGGGGCCTCCCTCATTGACACATGACTAAGTGTCAATGCACGGCAGGTGCTTGCCAGGCATGGGGGTTTCAGAAATGAGTAAGTCCTCGTCCCTTCCCTCAGGGGTGTCAGAACTGACCAGGGCACAGCCTGTAGCAGGGACAGCTCAGGGTCCCACATCTGTGAGAGGACTCTCCAGCCTGCCCGTAAGACTAAAAGCTTGAAGTCACAGGCACTTCTTATGCTCACCATTCGGAATATTCATGCTGCTATTTATCATAATAATATTCCACATGAGTCGAACGCCAGGAAAAGATTTTCTTCTCATGAACACCTGACCAATTTTCTCCGATATAATGACTAGGTGATTTATTTTGTTTCCCTTTGAGTTTTGGTACTAGGAATCTAGGTATTAATTTTCCTGACCAACTATATCCTGAGGGCAGATCCTTAATGGCATTTTTATTAATGGGTCTCCTGTCTCCCCAGCCTTGGGATGTAAGATGTATTCTAATGTACATTTTCCACAGTCCTCGATGTGTACTTTTTGTTTCTTGCTCACCATGCATGCCATTATATTGCTGTAACACACAGCTGCAAATCCTGGTGGAACTGAGGTGTGTGTGTGTGTGTATAGCTACCATTTGTGAGAGCCTCCCATGTGCCAAACGTAGCACATGCTTGGGGTACGTTATGTTCAATCCTCATCATCCCAACAGGTACCTCATCTTATAAATAAGAAACTGAAACCCAGAGAAGTAAAAGACTGTTCTCATCTAACAGTCACGGGGTGCTCAGATTTCAACATGAGTCTGTCTAACTCCAAAGCCCCGTCATTACAGTTAAACAACAAAAATAATCTGATTTATGTTAAATCATCAAGCTATCATTTAAGAGCATTTTGCATGTTTGTTTAAAATCCCCTTATGACACAGGAAGGGCAGATATATTTCATATTCATATTGAAGTGCTAATAGAATGAGTGAGGGCCACAGAAACTTTCAGCCTGGAAATGAAAGGGAGTCCTTCCCCTGTGCTAGAGCTCTCAGACTCCTTCCCCAGGGCCCTGGGCTTCTGCAGATGCACCTCCTCGGTTCAACTGCACCAGATTCAATCTTACCTGCTTGGTTTCCTGTGCAAGCTTTCTTTAATTTAAAGAAATACCCCATGGCCCTAGGGTGCTTGAAAGCCACTGACTGGCCCAGCCCAGGGGAGTCCAGATGGGACACCCTAACAACTCACCGATCATCTTGAGCCTTCCGATTCTATCCATGAGCAGGGCAGAAATGATGTTCCCAGGCAAGACAGAGAGGCTGCCAAGGAAGCTGACGAGGTAAATCAGGAAGTCGTTGTCTTCTTCGAAGTCCATGTGGCAGCCCTCCTTCTGCTCCAGGAAGGTGGAGTTGATAAACCGACAGTTGATGAACTTGTGCTTGTAGAGGTCTGGAAAGAGAAAGAAACCTTTGGCTCTTGAGAGTGTAGAGGAGCTGGAGAGAGGGGAAGAGAGGCAGAGATGAAGCTATGCCCCTTCCGTGAGCAGGCTGTGACCTCAGAGTCAAGGTGATGTGTAGCCAAGTGTGATGAAGAGAGGCTTTACATTGAATTGACTTTCAGAAATTCAATGACCTGTTCTAATCACCACGAGGAGAAATAAAACCAACGTAAATGGGAGGAACATTTTAAAATGCATCATCTCCCCAGCTGGATAACAGTCCAGTTTATACCCTGGGTGACTCTGAGGGTCACAGAGGCTGGCCCATTCCTCTGAGGCTACCCGACTTAGACAAGCAGAACACAAGAGAGTTGGGTCCATATTGAATCATCCACTCCAGAGCTTCTGCTGTAGTCTGTGCAGAGACTTCATGTTCTTCCAAATAAAAACCATTTCCTTTGGAAACAATTCACATATCTTCTGACACCTTCAAAGACAAGCTGTCCTAACAGAAAGAGGGTTAGATAGGCTCCCTGGACACCTGGATTTAAGGAGCCAGCCTTGCCCCTAACCCCTGGAACCTCCCTGAACCTGTACCTATAAAATTGGATTATCTCCAGTGCTTCTCCCAGCTCTGACATTTTCTGACTATAAGTGTTTGCAAAAACCCCTGTGTTAAGAGTATTCGAATGAAGAAGCATTATTAAAACATGAAAGAATAAAAGGACATGCACAGTTCAATGATAAATAGTAAATTTCTGGAACTCATTGTTTTAAGTTCAGTCTAACAGGAAATTCAGAAAGTAAGTCTCATAAGAATATTAAGAAACTGAGGGATATTGGGAGACCAGATATTGAATGGTTTGAGACTGGTATCATGGAGGGGAAAGATGTTCTTACATAAACTATACTTTGATGCTGGTGCTGGGGAGAAGGCATCCATCTGGACAAGATGCAAGTAGTTTGGTGGAAAGATTACAGACTTTAGAGACAAATAATTGAAGAATGGATCCAAAATCCCCCATCTGAATAACTGTGGCTTTGAGCAAGTTGCTAAAGTCTGAGATACCCTAACTATAAAGTGGGGATAACAATAGTATATTTCTGCGATAAGGTAAGTAAGGCCCCTGGTAACACACAGTTAGTTTCCTTATGTTCCAACTCTATTGGATATTTTATTAATCTATAACAAGAACAATGAGGAACAGTGGATGAGCAGAATTTCGTGATTTTTTTTAAATCATGGAAACTTAAAATGGTATGCTCCTAAAACAATATTAGCATTTGTTTTACGCACAAAATTTGAACAAAGGCAATTTTCCCTTTTCATTTTGTAATCATGAAAGCATAAGTTTTGAATTGTGGAAGATTCATATTAGGCAAAGTCTTTAAGAATGTATTCTGTGCATAAAATGCAGTGCCCTGGAATGCTGGTTTTTACTGGTATCACACTTTGTTCCTACCAAAGGGCCTTAGCGTGTACCATCAGCCTCATGAAGATGTGAACACTTGGCCAGAACTTTGGTTTCTAATTTTTTGTGTGATAAAAACAGACACAGATAAACTAAATGTTTGGTGAAGGCTGTGTACCTAATTTGTGCCATTCCTGGGGCTAGAGCCCATCTCTCCTCCCTAAGACTTGGCACTAGTATCTACAAACACTTCCCTCCTCCTGAAGCTTACAACTGAGCGTGCTGGTTCTTAGCCTACACTGATCCACCCCTGCTGCCTTCCTCTCACTCCACCCACCTTCTTACCTGTGTTATAAAAGACGGTTGATTCAATGGTGCAGTTTTTGAAATAGGTGTCAGTAGATGTAACATCTTCAAAATAACATTCATCAAAGAATGTGTCCTCGAAGAGTACGTGTTTAAAGTACATCTTTGTGAACCTGTGGGAGAGATGTTAGCCTCTGAGTGATTCATCCAGGAAAAGAAAAGAGACTTGAGACCAAAATGGAAAACACAGAAAGACAAAATAAGAACTGCATGACAAAAGGTGCTGGAACACTACTTTCAACCCAGATTGTTTCTGCATTTCTTAGCTGTTTAGTTAATTAGTGAGGAAGGCCTTCAGAACTACAGAAGTCAGAGTCCAGTCCAGGTCTGTATGGGGTACTGTACACAAATCAGGTATTCCCAAATGAGAGTCCATGGACCTTCCCCCATCAGAATCACAGAAGTGTGAAACAGTGTCAATGAAAATATGGGTAACAGTTCACTTTCTCCAAGGCTTTAAAAACATGCAGATACCTTGGCTGGTCCTATAAGGTCTGGAAGTAATATAATGGTGAAGGCCTGATAATCTTTATTTTTAAAATTGCCCCAACAAAGATGTAAGGAAATAGGCATTTTCATTTACCCTGGTGGTAGAATCTAATCAAGGCAGCCGCTTTGGGAAGCAATTTTGCAAAATTTAAAATTCACATTTCCATTCACCTAGGAATACCATCTCTAGGAATTTGTCTTACATATATTTATTCATACAATTGAAGAGACACATTCACTGGTCTTCATTGTGACATTGGTAATATTCGTAATGGATTATCGCACACATACAAACAAACATACATACTAGATAGAGGATAGACAGACACCATATAATGGAATACCATGTATGATATAGCCAATGAGGCTGATCTACATGTGTTAATACAGAATAATCTTAAAGATACATTGCTAAGTGAAAAACATCAAGATGCAATATAAAGTTCACAGAAGGTGACCATTCATGTAAGAAAAAAGATGGTCTGTGTGGTTCCAATATATACTCTCCAAATATATGTAGGGAGTTACACAGGAAACAAGCGCTGGGATCTGAGGAGATGCAAAAGGGGATAGAAACGAGATAAACTTCACTTTTACTTTATATCATATTACTTTCTCACTTTAAAAAACTCAGCTAATCAGGGGGTAAGTCACAAAGATGATCATGAGGTCCAGCCACCTTTGGGATCCACTTGCATTATTCCAATTTCTGCATCATCTTACAAAGAACAATATCACATTTAAGAATCTACCTCACATTCATTGACACCTTCTGTTGCTTGGTCAAATTTTGTAGGCTGCAGCCTTGCTTTTAGCTATATCTCCATTTGTGAGTGATCACAACCTATTCATTCATTCATTGTCTAGTCACTCATTTATATTTCCCATCTTCAGCAAAAAATTGCTGAGCATGGGACTGGGAGCTTTTAATATAGAGTGGAAGCCACCATCCCTGCCCTTTAGTCTAACTGGTGAAAAGAACAGGCATCAGACAACAAGGATACAGTGTGAATCACAGGGACAGAGCGGGCAGAGAGACCTGAGGGGTCACTGTTCTTCAGGCTCCAAGATAATTCACTCCCAAACACATATGAAGGCCAGTGTCTATCTTGCCACATAGTGTTCTACTCAGAGGTCTAACCTGCCACCTAAAATTAGCTTCTGCAAAATGGTCTCCCACCCAATAAGAAGAGTAAGTACTTGTCAAAGGGAGATGCCCAGACCCTCACATCAGAATAAAGAAGGAGGTCATTGTTAAAGATATGGCTTCCTAGGTTCCAACCTGACCTTATAAATGATAATGATCATCAGAGGCAACAGACCATTATAGTACTTACACAAAGATATGAAAATCATTGGTCTAGAAAACCAAATTATTTTGAATATTTTTTTTTCCTTTAGGCCAAATTTGCTACAGGGTTTGAAAAACAGGGGCTTCCAAACATTGTCATGTACTCTTCAATTTCCATAAGAAAAACCAATTGGTAAGCCTTTTATTTCAGGAAGATGCCTGTGACTTCAAATTTGCATGGCATATGTATTTACTCAGGACAGCTATTCCTGGAGACTGTCTCTGGCCTTTGCCTTTCTTAATATATCCGAATGTTTAATATAATAGTAGGCTGGCGATGTGGCCTTCGGTGATAATTTAATAGTCTTCCAAGGGTGGTTGAGAAAGCAGAGCCATAAATCATAAATGAGTCTGACGCAGGCAGATCTTAAAATGTATCTCCAAGTGGGTTATTAAAAGCCGAAAGGATGAAAGAGATGAACGGAGAAAGGGCCAGCACATGCTTTATGAGTCTTTATATGAATCATCTCTCCTGATATCTTAAGTAGTGAACTGGCCCAAGATGCTTAATTCAGGAAAGTTCAGAAGCTGAAGGAAAAGTTAGCCAAAGGATAAGTATCCTGTGGAACTTTTCTTTTAAGGACTCAGAGTCCTTGAGGGTCCAGGGCCTACAACAGAATTAGGATTACAAGAACTTAATTCAGTTACCCGCATTGGAGATCCAATGCTTAGTCCAACAAAGGATCCGAATTTGGCCAAAGTCCCAATTATCTAGTCACTATATTTCAGGTTTGATGGAGTCACTCTCCAGAAACTAATATCCTCTCCCCAAAAGTTCAAAAGTTCCTGTGTTAGGCAATGTTCTGGATTATGACAGTTGGAACCTCATCAGTGAATTAATCCATTTGATGTTGTAATAATTTGAATGAGCTACTGGGTGTTAACCATGGCCAGATGGCACATGGCTACAGAAAGCAGGTCACTAGTGGCATGATCTTGGACTATATCTGTCCCTGGCTTCTTGCTCTCTCTCTCACTCTTTCTGTTTCCCAGCTGCTCTGAGCTGATAGCTTTCCTCCACCACACCCTTCCTCCATGACGTTCTGCCTCACCTCAGCCCCAGACAAATGAACGCATCTGACCATGGACTGAGACCTCTGAAACCATGAGCCTAAAAAATAAACATTTCCTCCTCTAAATTGTTCTTATTGGGTATTTGTATCACAGCTATGAAAAGCTGACTAACACAGTGCCCTTTAGTTGGCTTCTTTTTTAAGTAGAGAATTCACTTTCACATACATTACATCAACTTTCAGGGAGAAAATAATGAATGTGTTTCCTAGAAGTCCACGTCCACTCATATTCTACCACAATAAGCCCTGCAGGCACAGTGAAATGAAACAGAGTCCTTCAGGAAAGAGGTAGAGCCCCAGTCTCTCGCTTGTTAACTCCTAAAGCAAAACAAAAGGATCATTCACTTCAGAAAATACATGCTTGAATCTAATTTCCTTAGAGATTGGAGGAAGCAATCTTGCCTGATACTTTGTATAATTGGTTATATTCCACACATATTAGGCATCAGGCATTTTCCCCAGGTCTAGTAACATTCTCCAAAAACTAAAGAGACCAACTTTTAGGACTTGACCACTAAGAGATCTTGGGCAAGTCAGCTCTACTCCCTAGGACTTCGCTTAAGAATCTATAAAACAGGGGCATGGAGATGGCTTTTTCCAGCTTTATTTTCTGATTCTGTAAATAAGGAGCACCCTAACTTCCTCAGGAACCCTGGGGAAGAAGCATATGAATGGACTTAGGAGATGGCTGTCTTTCCCAATACTGAAATATTATTTCATGAAAACCCAGAAAATGTCTATGATAGGAAATCCTAGTAACAGTGTCCATCAAATACTCTCTCTAAGGAGATACATTCTTGTGTTTTTATGGATCTACCAGTGAATCCTACTTCCTCTCTCTTTCTCTTACACATAAGGCTATTAAGTACAGAAATCATGATACCTCGTGCTTTCTCTTTACAAAGATCTTAACACATTTACTGCTTTTGAAAATAATGACCAACACAGAATTTCAAGAACAGAACACAATGCAAAAAGGAAAACAATGACTAAAATAGCATTAGAAAAAAATAGTAGAACAAATTCACATATATAGTTATATACATCCTAAGTCAAACACTAACTATTGCCAAATTCTGGAAACAATTCCAAATCCCTTTAGCTGATGAATGGAAAATCAACATTCAGGGGTGCATACATATCATGAAATACTGCTCCACAATAAAAATAAATAAACTGCTATTCATGCAGCAACATGGGTAAACTCCAAATGTGTTATGCAAAGTAAAAGAAGCAAGTTCCAAAGACTTCATAGGGTATGATTACATTTCTATGGCATACAGAAGGTCACTGGCTGCCAAGGGCTGGGGGTTAAAGATGGAACGAGTACAAAATGGCACAAGAAAATCTGAGGAGTAATGGCCTTATTCTGTACATTGCTTGTGGTGGTGGTTACACAACCATATGCATTTGTCAAAACTCATAGAACTGTACGAAAAAGTAGGAATTTAATTGTCTGTAAATTAAATCTCAATAAAAAAGAAACTCCCAACAAATTTCTAAGACAATCATAACAAAATCCAAACCATGTTCACCTACCAACTAGATGGACTCAACATCCCCACACACTGCAAAAGCCTAGCAAAGGAGGAGGGGCATTCACTTCTTCATCTTGATTGAAGAATGCAACCAAAAATTATAAACACATAAAGCAGCAAGAATAAAACAGCGTGATATAAAGGCACAGTCATTGAAAAAACAAGCCACGTGACACAAATACTTGAACTATCAGGCAGGGAATTTAATATAATTATTCCTGATATAGTTAATTCTTAGAAGAAAAGGTAGATAACATGCATGACTGTTGGGGATTTACAGCAGAGTAATGCAAATTCTAAGAAGAGATAAAATAAAAATGCTGGAAAAATTTTAAATGCAGTAACCGAGATTAAGAATGCATTTGATGAACTCATCAGTAGATTCATCATAATTAAGAAAGGAATTACTGAAATTTTAATCCCAGAAAAATTACCAAAACTGAAACACAAAGAGGAAAAATAAAGGCAGAACAAAGAAGAGTATCTAAGAGCTATGGGAAAATATCAAACAGACCAGCATAGGTGCATTTGAAATTCAAGAGAGAAAAGAGGGAATTTGGCAGAAGAAATATTTGAATAGACAACTGCAAAGAGTTCTCCTAAAGTAATGAAATAAGGCCAACAGTAAGTCAAGAGAAAACCTCAAGCAGAGTAAATACCAGAAGAAGAAGGAAGAAGAGAAAGGGAAGGATCAAGCCTACAAGGTGCAAACAACTAAATATCAAATATAAAAGGGGAATCTTGAAAGGGGCAAGAGAAAAACACAAAGATAAGAATATAGTAAATTGGGCCCAGTGGTGCACGCCTACAATCCCGGCTACTTAGGATACTGAGGCAAGAACACGGCAAATCCAAGGTTAGCTTCAGCGACTTAGTGAGACTCTATCTCAAAATAAAATTTACCAAGAGAGAAAGAGAGAGAGGCAGGGGGAGGAAGGGAGAAGGAAGGGAGGGAGGGAAGAAAGAGAGAGAGGAGAGAGAGCATGAGCAAACACACTGGGGTTATGGCTCAGCTGTAGAGTGCTTGCCTCATACCCCTGGGTTCAATCCCCAGCAGCACAAAAAAAAAAAAAAAAAGAACTTATCAGACTTCTTGTGAGAATATCCAAAATTTCCTTCTACTCAGTAATTCCACTTCTAAGTATATAGACTAGAAAACATCTTTCATAAGAACACTTTTTGCAGTACTATTTGTATAGAAAAAAAAAGTTGTCAGTTATTTCAATGCCCCTCAAAAGAACAGACAAATTCACTATGGAATATGCATGTAATGCAATTAAAATTTAATGAAATGAGTTATGCAATTATGCTAACAGAGAAACTTCAAAACCCTGATTTTACGCAAAAAAACAAGTTGAAGAATTTATATAATAGTAATATAGGAATGTGTAATATAATAGTATAGTGTTTATCTAAAATTTGAAAAATATGAAAGGCTACAGTACAACTTTTACAATCATATAAGCATTTGAGAAAAGTACAAAAGCATGCATGAATGTAAAGCACCAATTCATGACAACAGTGACCAGAGAGGGAGAGGAATAGTATCAAGGGTGTTCACACAGTGGGCTGGGAATGTTGCTCAGAAGTAGAACACGTGCCTTGAATGTGGAAGCCCTGGGTCCCATCCCCAGCACGAAGAGCAAACAAAAAAAGAAAGGAAGGAAGGAAGAAATGAAAATTCACACAGTGAGTTTAATCTATTTTAAAATCTGAAGTAAATGTATCATAGATTTTATAAAGCTAAGGTGCTCTGAATAGAGTTGTTTGTATCACTCTCTAGTCTCTGCAAATTTGAAATATTTCACAATAAAAAAAAAGAGAAGGCATCAAACAATAGTTATTTGCAGATGGTGGGATTATATAACAATAATGAGGAAAACTGTTAGAATGAATAAAAGCTCTGATACAAAATAAACATCTAAAAATCAATAGAATTAAATAAACTAATAAGAATAAATAAATAACAATTTAAAATCTGTTATTATTGGCAATAACATATGCAAATGATTGATGGGGGAGAGCCATCCCATTTTCAATGACCAAAATATAAAATATCCAGGAAGACTCCGAACAAGAACATGTAGGAACTTTATTAAGCTACAAATTTTACTGAGAAATTGTACTAACTCTGAAATACGATGGACATTCCATACCAGTATTATCCCTTCCCATGTGGAATCCAAAGCTGAGACAGTTCTGAGCTTTCCCAAGATGGCTCACCTAGTTGCTGACCAGTCAAGGAAGAACTCAGCTCTGTTTTCTCAGACTTAGAAGTCAGCAGGTGTGTTTGCTCATTTCCCACCAGCAGCATTTTCAAAGACTTTTTACTAAAATTTGGTAATTTTAGTAGTTGAAAAAAAAATCTTATTTATTCCATACTGAAAAGAGACTATCAGTGGCTCCAACATTTCCGTGTGAAGTGTGACATGATCTCCTCTTTTCTTCTTGTGCATGGCTTGCCTACTCTCTCTCCTCTTCCTACTTCATTTTAGAGCTAAATCTTATAAACTTCCCTTTCATTCTGAGCTCCTCACCTTTGATTCTTCATGGGTAAGTCATCTGTGTAGAGGGTTAGACATTCCCATTTAAGACTCCAATCCTGAACCTGAAGAACACAAAGCAAGTTTCCCTTGCAGCTCTGAGGAGACCTGGGATCAGGACCCTACTTCCTGGATCATTACCTATCGCTGAGGAATGCCCTTCCCCCATCCTCACCCTGACTGAAGTCAGCCCTGTCAAACAGAGGTCTCCTCCAGGGAGGAGAGGGCAAGTGAGTTAATTAATTAGTTAACATGTATTCTGAAATGAAAACTGATTCTGTCTTCAATGGATAATAAGGAAAACCTGACATTTTGTCTCAGGGTATAAAACATGAACTTATTCTTTTGTCTTTTTTGCACTTTTCAAAACGTCACAAATTCTAAACCAAAGGCTGTGTGGAATTCAGAACCACCTGGTCCTGTATGACGCATCAGGAGGCAGCAGACAATGCTTTGGGACTGACTGAAACTAGTCTGCATTTTTTGTTTCTTTTGGGGGTCAAAGAGATTGGTCTTACAGCAGGAAAACTTTTAGGTTTCAATAGGATGAAGTTTGAAGCCTGTGTAAACAGAAGTCATTTTCTCCCAAGTGTAATAGTAAATAAATAAATAAGTTATTTTTATCTGAATTTTAAAGCAGCAAAGTGTGGATAATGTTGAAAATGAAATACTGGCACACAGGGGAGAAATGCCCCCAACCAAGCTGTAGAACAGATTCATGCCTAATTCCTCAAGTTTGGGGTTTTCAAAGGAAAGGTGTTATCCACATGATGACCTGCAGATGGCAACATAACTCAAGAAAAGAACCCAACTTCTTAAAACTCATAGATACAGAAGTTGTAGTTAGTTCTCGCAATTTTTGAAGGAATGCCCTTCTATATACACATTTGAAACAGAAACATGGAAGAACACCTGTGTTTACAGGAAGAGTGTCCACGTGTACTCTCAAACAATCCTTGACATGCCTACTCATTCCCTGACCCTTGGCAAGAACACTGTGGTCCCCAGGGGTCCTGGATCCTTGAGGGGAAACCAGGATTCTCATTAGCCTTTTCTTCTTTCTCACTCCCACCCAGCAGTCCGCTGAAAGTTTGGAGAAACTGATAAAAATTAAAAAGACAGAGTGGGTTAAAATTCCCCACTTTTTACATAGCTAAGTCTTTCAACTCTATTATAAATTACAAGGATTCTGGCATTTCAATTAAGTTTTAAATGAAGAAAACATCATGCCAATCAGGGCCTCTGTGGAAATGAAGAGTCTCCCAAAGGGAATGATACTTGTAGTGGACAGTATTCACATGAGATCTGGAATCCTGGGTGGGGAGACAGACATTTCTATTTATATTAGCTGTGTGACCTTGAGCAAGTTACTCAACCTCTCTCAGTTTCTGTTTCCCACCTGAAAAATAGATTAGTTCTGAACTCAGAGTTTTTGTGAGAATTAAATGAGATAATCTGCATAAGGCATTTAAAGCAGGAACTGACACGTGGAGTACAAGTACTCAATATCATTGGCTTCCACAGTTATTACTATCAGCATTATTTCAACTCCTATCATTGTCACTTGTATCACAGTAGGGTGTGATTGAACATGGAATTCACAAATGAGATTCCTTTAGTGAGTTCATCTCTGCAGGAGTGGTGTCATATCATGGGTGACAGCTAATCATCCATGGTATCCCTTAGTTTTCAACATGTTCTCAGAAAGCAAGGGTGACATTTCTTCCTTGGTATGCCAACATTAGGTGCCCAGGCTCTTATTCAAAATCTCGGAGGTGAAACATCTTGGGGGAACAGCTTCAAACATTATCCGTGTGGGAGCTGCTGTCCCTGGAGCAGATTAAGGTCACTCTGAGCAAGCAGTCTATGCGTGTGTGGCTACCTGGGCATGTGGGTGTGTGGAGCTCCAGCATTTTTTATAAAACCACCTGAAAATCTGAACCCCATGTCCAATGATACTCCATCCTACTGCTTCCTAAAGCAAATGCAAAAAGTGTTTCTATGAATAAGAGAAGGAGGAAGGAACAAGAAACATATAGAGACACACATACAACACCATACCCAAAGGTCACATATTTGTGGAAGTCATATTCCCCCTTTGGCTTCCCACTTTCTTATCCCAAGTAACAGCGACCTTTGCTAAGGTCATTAAGAGCAATGGGGACTAGACTCCAGAGGGATCTGCCAGACCTCCCCCGCCAGAGGGTCCTTTCCCACAGTCACCACAGGCGGGGACTTTACCTGGATGCCAGACACAGCTGAGAGCAGGTGGGGGGAGGTCTACTATTTGGGGCTGTTAATTGTGTGTGGTGATGATAAAGAAGGGGCAGTTTATGTCCTTGACACTGAACCATCTGGGACATGATGTTTCTGATGCCACCTCAAAACCCGCAGCACTCAAACACATTCACAACCAGGGAGCTTGCTAAGTATAATTTGAGAAGAGAAATAGCAGCAGGTCCATACTCAGCTTAGAGAAGAGTGTGATCTGGGATAAACTTTCCTAATGTCCTGCCCTGACCCATCATGAGATTTTCAGAGAGTAGTCTCAAAGAGGCTAATACTACATCGATATGTTTTCCCCTGAAGAACAACACCTCTGGTTGACAACAGAACATACTGACCCACCCTATGAGGTTACGTTAAGTGAAAGAATTTTAAAAAGTAGTGTCATAACAGTTCCAGCATGGATAAGCTCCTGTTCTCAGTAAAGATGGCCAGGTTGACCATCCTCAGCCCAGTGCCTCATCCTCAGATGAATTAGCCATGGCCAAGAGACAGGAGTAACAGAGGTCAGCCCAATATGACTCAAGCCACCAGGATTACTGTGTCTCTAGCAGCCACAAGAGGTGTGATGATGGTCGCATCCTCAGAGCTCATTCCCTGCCATACTGAACTCTTATCTTCCCAATGGCTCTTTCCCAATGACATCCCAGTGGACACCGTCACCCTGAACTGAAGAAAGCCCATCGTCTCACACTTACTTATCATTCACAAGTTTCCCATGTTGGTGGATCTGATTTTCCATCGTGAAGTTGATTGTGGCACCATACACGTGCTCACCGAAGAATACCTTCATTTTAGACTTGTATTCTTCATCTTGAAAATACCGGATCATATCGGGAAACCAAACCGTCAGGCCATAGTAACTGTAATGAGGAAGACAGACAGTCTGAACAGCAGTGTGATTGAATTCCTCAGAATCAGAGTCTGCATTCCTCACTAGAGGGAGATCAGACTCATTTCAGACATAGGAATTTGGTTCAATAAAAAAATCTAATGATATGCCTCATTATAAGGAAAACTTAGGACCATCTCCACAGATTTGGATTTGATTTTAAAAAGTCAGTCTTGATTTTAGAAACACCAAGGAGTAGGGTTTGGTGGACACTTCCTTAATACATAGGGAATAAAAATCACATTTCAGTTCAAACACCAGAAGCTTAGTGAATCACGAAACACTAAAGACATTGCAAGTAACCATAGGAACAGGACAAAACATCACTATCACTTAACAGTACACTGCAGGTCTTCACCAATTCAGATGAGGGAAAAAACTTAGGAATGTCACAAATTGCAAAGCAAGAGGTAAAACTATCTCTACAGGCAGATGATATGATTTTATGCCTGGAAAACTCAAAATAACCAACTCAAAAAAAATGAGCATTAAACATATGAAAAACAGATGCTCAACTCTATAGATAGAAAGAAAAATACAAATTAAAATCACACTGTTAGTTCTCATCTACCAGATTGTCAAAGCACCAAAGTTTGCTAAATCACTCTGTAGGTTAACAGGTGCTGTCATAAATGTTGAGGAAAAAGACAAAATTGAACAATGCCTTGTGGAGGAGGACTTGTCAATGCCTAAAAATATGACAGATGAACTGGACCCTTTGACCCTTTAGCTCCACTTGCAGGAATCCATTCCACTGATAAACCAGTCCCCACAAAAAGTATCTTACAAACATGGCTCCTCATTTTGTCATTGTTTACACAACAAAAATCTAATACTGTCCCACCAGTCCTGCAATGAGGGCCTGGTTGAATAAACTGTGATAATTTACAGTGGAGGGCTAGGCAGAGGAACTATGTGCTATAAAGAAGAATGAAGAAAACCTTAATTTACTGGCATAGAGAGATTTCCAGAATATATCATTGAGTGTAAAAAGCAAATGCAAAATGTGTTTCTTTGAATAAGAGAAGGAAGAAGAAACAAGAAATATATATGCATGTACATGTATATATATGTACATATGTATCGTGTGTGTATACACACACATACAATTATTTGTTTACATTTGCAAAAAGAATCACTGGGATAATAAATAGAAAAATGGAAGGTGATTACATACTGGAGGCAGAAGGGAGTGGGTGGAGGGAGAGGGAACAGATTCAAGATTCCTGTGTTGTTTCAACATTTGAATGCATTACCTATTCAAAAAATTAAATTAAACATAAATAAATATGAATAAAACATATTTTTAACACCATCAGTGAATTAATCCTAGTGTCTGTCCTTTGACTCCTAGTTGGGATTGAACAATTTGAGGGGTGCTAGTTCAGGCTTCTTCTATACCTTTAGCTGTTTGTTTGCGTCTCAAAGGTCAGGTCTCCACACACACACACACACACACACACACACACACACACGTGCTGGAGGACATTAAGTCTCCCCATGTTGTTCCCACAATCAGAGGTCATGAGAGCCCCTTTGCTTTCCTGGGGTGAAGAAGTATTTGGGGATACAGGTGGTGTGAACAAAGCAATTTCCCAGATGGAAGTTTAAAATATTGTTAATATTTCCAAGTTGATAATAGCAATTTATTGAGTACTTATTAAGTGCCAGAAACTATTGCAAGTACTTGATAAGTAAAATGTTCCCACAGTGCCCCCAAGTGGGTCCCAAAACACGCATAAAGAGTAAAGTCATGTTAGCTGGAGGCAACTGGAGTGACTTGGTGTAAGCCTGCAACTTCTCAGAGGAGTCAGCTAAGCATCCCTTTGTTGCAGGGCAGTGTTGCATGGGTCCCCTGTTCAATCTTTCCTATATTCTCAGCAACATATATTTGTCTTCTCCACACTTGTTCCCTGCTACCTCTCTGTGAACAGAAACTTTTTTCCATTCAGGTGTCAACTCTTAGGAAAGGATGGAGCTTGTAGGTAAATCCTGATTTGCTCAAAACATTGGGAAATTCCATCCCCTTCATCATGATGAGTTTAGCCTGTGAGCCACCTCTGCCTACTCTAATAGGAGGGAAAATTGACTGGGAACCTTCAGAGAAAAGTTCCCTGGCATTAAAAAAGGAAGTTTTGTAATGAGCAATTAGCTAACAATTAGCAATTAGCAATCAGTTAACAATATCATATTGTTTATTTGAAATCTGCTAAAAGGAGAGATCATAAGTGTTCTTAACACACACACACACACACATACATAGACGTTAGCTATATGATGGGCACACTCACTAGCTTGATTGAGGCCACTAATTTACAATGTGTGTGTTATGAAAACATTAATTTGTACACCTTAAATAGACACAATAATTATGCATCAATTATACCTCAGTATGGATGGGAGAGGGAGTCAGGACATTTTCCCCCATCAACAGAATGCCTCCACTGGCATCCTGCAGTCACCATGAGAGCCGGCCTGAAGCTGAAACCCCTCCTGCAGTCCACTTCTCCTCGCTGGGACTAGATATTTCCTCTAACAGAAGCCACTAGCATATGCTGCCTGTTCCCTGCAGCCAAAAGCATCCGCTCTGATACAAACTCTCCAAGTTAGAACCCGTTATCCTCCATGTGCAAAGGAAGCAACTGAGGCACAGGGGAATGGAGGAGCTCACGTAAGACAGAACTTACCTCAAAGCCATGGTAAACCAGACCACGGCCAAAATCAGCGTGTTCATTCTGTAAGGTCCCATCACACAGTACAGAGCGTTATCCCAGACCTAAACCCATACCAGAGAAGGATGGTTAAAGGAAGAAACTTGGAAAAGCCCACGTACCAGATTTTCTAATAAATGGCCTGATCAATGACCTAGAACCCCAAGTAGAGAATGATCAATCCATTATCCCCCAGAGGCAGTAGATCTGTTCACATGGCAAGGAGAGCTTCCCGTCGCTCTTCTCCTGGGAACACATGCATGTGACAGAAAGCACACCAAATTAGGATTTCAGGGCCCTGAGCAACCCGGAGCAGTGAGCCCTCCCTGCTGCTGGCAGGGGCAATATAACACGTGGTTAGTGACCACACAATATGAGCAACGTCCAGCCTCTACAGACTCTGGCTGGTCAGCCATCTCAATGCTCAATAGCTGACCTGTTCCAGAGAAATGGCTTTGCCATGTATGGAGAATCTTTTCCCTAAGTCACTAAAAACCCCAAGGGGCCATTTATTACATTCACTTCTCTATCTAGCAAGAGAAGTTGCTAGCGAGAAGGATGCGTACTCAGGCTGGTCAAGTTCTTGCCTTGAGAAAGATAAGCAAAGGAAAAGACTGAGGTTCAGAGAATTTGCACCCTGAGGGTACTTGGCAAGTTAAATGCAGCCCTGGGGCTGGAACCCCACATCCCCCACAAGATGCTTCCTCTCCAGCTCCCTGTTCTGGTTGATAGTGTTCAGGGTTTTTATTCTTCATCCACTAAGGTCATGGGTTCCCACGGAGACATTCTCCCACCCAACATATGTCCCCAGTTCATACCTGCTTGAAAGTGGTACTGAATCTGACCAGCCAGCGCTGGTACCAAGTTCCTGTTGAACTTTGGATCTCAATGAATTCATCCATTTGCTTGGGAGTTTTGATGTGGGAAACCTGAAAAGCAAAGCTAGTGTAGAGAATCTCTACCTCACTTTGTCTTCAGAATTTCATTTCGAAGTCTACATAATTAACTTTATTAAGTTATGTAGGCGAGATAAATGTCACCCTCTAGTTTTGTGATTTTGGGCCAAAAGTGTGCATAGTGTCTCTTAGGGAACTTTCTTGGATGGATATATCTCAGTGAAACAAAATGTTCAGAATATTTTTGCTAATTTACACCTTTAGGAGATTTGTATTAGTGGGTCCACAATATACTGGTTTCCCATTCATGTCTGCTTTACCCACAGTAAAGTTGATCCCACATTAAAATTTACAACTCTGTCCTTAATGGACATAAACATCACAGAAATCTAGAACCCAGACAGATGAGAAGGGATGTTGCTACAACAAAAATACAACAGAGAAATCACAGCCTCCCTGCAATCCCTGAGTTTGCCGGTAGAAATCAAAGAGAGGAAGGGGATAGAGTAGTATAGCTCAGCATTCCCTCAAGGGCCCTGGAAAGTTGGTGTGCCAAAGTCACACCCTTCTTCACCATGACAGTGACATTCAGGCCAATCAGATGCTTACTGTTAGGTGCAGGGCAGGCTGAACTAAGTTGTCTGCAGGGCAGGCTGAATGAATGGTAGCTGCAGGATAACCCAGGCACTCAAACCCCCCTCTGTCTGGTCCTTTATCACCTGTTTGCGTCAAGGCTGAACACTCAACCCCACTCAAGGCTGAACACTCACCCCCACCCGTCTGGTGCAACGGAAACCCACATCTGACCCCTGCCCCATCTGCCTGAAGGCAGAAGAGGACACCCTTAGCAAGTACTGTATGATCCAATCATTGTACGCCAACAAGGCAGCTTGCAGACCCAGAGACCCCATTAGATTTGGGCTATAAAATCTCCCTTTTCCCCTTCTCTCTCTCTCTCTCTCTCTCTCTCTCTCTCTCTCTCTCTCTCTCTCTCTCTCTCT